AATATTGGAGGATCGGGTTGCACGCCGCAACAGACTTATTAAAAAGTCCATATTGGAGGATCGGGTTGCACGCCGCAACAGACTTATTAAAAGTCAATATTGGAGGATCGGGTTGCACGCAACAACAGGCTTATTAAAAGTCAATATTGAAGGATCGGGTTGCACGCCGCAACAGACTTGACTAAAATGAATATATTGTGAGAGCGGGTTGCACGCTACAACAGACTTAATTGAATGTGAATATATTGTGAGAGCGGGTTGCACGCTGTAACTGAATTGATGGAAATGATAATTGGTTATGACTGTTGAGTTGGTTTCGATTATTATAAATGAGTTACTTGATTTATTTCTATTATTGTTGTTGTTTCTAATATTGCATATAGGTAATGTAAGTGACCCGCCTTAGCCTCGTCACTACTTCGTCGAGGTTAGGCTCAGCACTTACCAGTAGATGGGGTCGGTTGTACTGATACTACACTCTGCACTTCTTGTGCAGATTTTGGAGTTGGTCCCAGCGGCGTACCACAGTTTTGCTCGGATTTCAGTTATTCAGAGAAGACTTGAGGTATAACTGCATGGCGTCCGCAGTTCTGAAGTCCCCGTCTATTTTACTTTGGCTGTGTGTTTATTTTCAGACAACTTTATTTTATTCAGACCTTTATTTGTATTTATTCTAGAAGCTCGTGCACTTGTGACACCAATTATGGGATGGTATTTAGACACCGTTGTTTGATGGATTATTTCACTATATTTTAAACTTTGCTTCCGCATTTGTTTTCTTGTTATTAATAAATTTAAAATTGTTTTAAAAATAGATAATATTATTCTAACATTGGCTTGCCTAACAAGTAAAATGTTAGGCGCCATCACGGTCCGAAGGTGGAAATTTCGGGTCGTGACACTCGCCTATGGGACCGGCCCACTACCCAACCCACCTCCCCACGGTCCCGGTCCTATCCGGTTAGAACCGTTTAGGGCCACTGCCCATTTATGCTTGTGGTCCTGGATCGGGCCCGATCATAACCGGCCCACATGCCACCCTTACCTGGGCCTCGATCATGGCCCTCGATTCTAGACTTCGATCATAGCCCTCGATCCTGAGCCTTCAATCATGGCCCTCGATCTTGAGCCTTCGATCATGGCACTCGATCCTGAGCCTCGATCATAGCCCTCGATCATGGCCCTCGATCCTGAGCCTTCGATCATGGCCCTCGATCCTGAGCCTCGACCCTAGCTTCGATCCTGGTCATCGACCCTGGCCCTCGACCTTGGCCTTCAACCCTGAGCTCGATTTCTGAGCTTCGATCCTGGGCTCAATTTCTGGGCTTCGATTTCTGCATTTCCAGCAGAAGAAAATTGCAACAGCTTTTTAGGTCCAACTTTTGATCGTTAACCATCCGAAACTCACCCGAGGCCCTCAGGACCTCAACCAAATACACCAACAAGTCCTAAAACATCATACGAACTTATTTGAAACCTCAAATCACATCAAACAATGCTAAAATCGCAATTCACACCCCAATTCAAACTTAATGAAACTTAAGAATTTTCAACTTCTACATTCGATGCCGAAACCGATCAAATCAAGTCCGATTGGCCTCAAATTTTGCACACAAGTCATAAATAACATAACAGAGCTATGAAAATTTTTGAACTGGATTACGATCCCGATATCAAAAAGTCAACTCCCCGGTCAAAATTCCAAACTTAAATTTCCAATTTTAGCCATTTCAAGCCTAATTTAACTACGCACTTTCAAATAAAAATCCGAACACACTCCTAAACCCAAAATTATCATACGGAGCTGTTGGAATCATCAAAATTTTATTCCGGGGTAGTTTGCACATAAGTCGGCATCCGGTCACTTCGTGAACTTAAGCTTTAAAACTTGGAACTAAGTGTTCCAATTCATTCTAAAACCTCACCGGACCTAAACCAATTACTCCGGCAAGTCATATATCAGTTATAAAGTACATAATGCACAGTAAATAAAGGAATAAGACTACAACTTTTAAAACGATTGGCCGGAACATTCCAGCTTCTATAGAGATTGAAGGGTCTTGGCCAATCCATAAAAGCAATTTGCAAGTGAAGATCCACATAATAGAAACTGGCACGCACGCGAATAAAAGAAATACTATAATGGCAGCACAAGTAATAGTGCCAAATTCTTTATACTGTCGTGCTCCATAGGCCTGCCTACATAAAGTTTCCAATCCAGCTGCCATTCCATACTGCACGCAAGATTCAGATTCAAATAGCTTTAGTACCCGGCAACACTGCAGGAAATATGAGCTATGACTGATATTTAATTAGTGACATTTATAATAAATATAGGGAGAAGGTTCATTTCGTGACATTTGTTAACAAAATATGGCAAAAATACTAACGTTTGATGACAATTGACAAAAATACTGTGACATTTAATAGAAATGTCACATAATTAAGAATAAAATGACATTTAATTAGTGATATGTACAGCAAATGTCAAAAAAATTACTAGTTTCAAAAAAGAAAGAGAATTTTTTTCCCCAAATCTCCCTCTCAAATCTCTAAAAAACCCTACTCTCTTAGAACAATTGAAGTTCATTTTTCCCCTCCCCAGTTTCTCTATCCCGTCCGAATCCTTACACCCCTACCATGAATCTCAAAATCCTTCAGGAATAGCAGTATGAAATGTATTCTCTTCTTGTTTAATTCCCTATTTCCTTCTCTTTGTCTACTGCGCATTGGAATAACTCTAGGTTAGCATTTTTCTTTATCTCTTGATTGGATTCGAATTCTTCCTTATTTCTTGTGAGTGTTTTGATTTCTCAGAGGAATTCAATCATATTTATTGCATTTGCCTGTGTCCTATGTATTTACAGCAGAGGAATTGAGAGTTTAGGGTTTTGAAGCTTAATCTATGTTCTGATTTTATTTTGTGGTTGTGATCGTGTGGTGATTTGGAGATATGTTTGTTTGAATGGAAGTTGTGTGGGGTATTATTACACAATATGATAATGGTGATATTACATTCACAGATTTATGCCCTACGGCTGTTTGACAAAATGCCTGATAGAGCATCTTAAACACTATGATCTTCCCTATTGTTTATTTATTTCAAAATATGAACTAAATTTATGAGTTTTCCTTAATTCTTAATTGATTCAATGATGTGCAAGTCAGCAACAAAGGATTTTTCAAATTCTCTAAGACTTCCTTTTAAGTTAAATTGTCAAAGATATGACGTTAAGATTTTTCGCGTCCCTTAAATGTCTTATGTTTCTCTTTGGGTTTGCGTTGCACTACAAAGAGCTGAACTTAGAGATGTGCTAGCTTTGGGGCTTAATGTTACCAGGTATTTATTCTTGTACACTTAATAAACTAGTTAGTTGCATGATCATATTAAGCAGTCATCAGATATCATGAAAATATTATTTTGCACAGAAGGAGAAATGGAGAATGCTAGTAAGTAAACATCACATCCATATGTATCATTAGCTTTATATACTAAGGGCTTGTTTAGTTAGTACAGTATGGTAATTAACTCTTGGCTTTCAAAGGAGAAATGCTATAATGATAAGTCTGCTATATCTACATATAGGGTGCTATCTACTTTGCTAATTATTTTTGTCCCTACGGAAATTATGCAATTGGTCAAATATCTTTAGAATTTACTAGGTTGAAATGTACCGATGGCTATGCTGGTTGATTAGGTGAAAAATAAGGTAGCACACATATACTGGCCTTTGGGTGTATGATATGGAGTTGCAGTGAGAAAGTCCAGAGTGTGGCAACTTATGGTAAGGTCCTTGTAAATTTGATGGCCATATGACATCTTTCTTTCTTAAAATTATGTGTTTTTACTAAGGGAATTTGTTCGTTGGTGGCAAATAGCTTGTGGAATACTTCAATTAGTAATCTTATAAGGATACTCGTGACAATCGCTGCACTATATAAATTCATTTTATTAAATCGTTCTTCTATGCAGATTATGCGATCTTCTTTTGACTTTCAATCACTTGCTAATTTATTTCCTAGTTTATGAAATCATAGGTTGACTACCTCACACAACCTTGTTGTCTCAATTCAATAGAGTGTCAAATGGGTGGAAGCGCAAGGAAATTGGAGCTGAAGGGATGTAGCAGAAAAAGTGGAAGAAAGAGTTGAGGAAGTGAAACAATCTATTGCAGAATTTGCTACAATTTGCTTTTATCCAGCCTAATAGTTTCTTTCTACCATTGTTTAATTGTAAGGATGTGCTGCTATTCACAAATACATTCTTGTAATTAGTTACAGAGATTTTTTGTTAACTCATTTTATTACAGTTCAAATTTTATATATTTATTGACATTTATAGGTATTTATTTTAGAAATTTGATGTTTATACTTTCATGTATAGCAACGTATAATATTAGTTTTATATTTATATTATAATTGTCCTCTCAAATGTCAATTGAGTAATTTTGACATTAGCAATATGCATTGTACAAGTGTCGCTAATAACTCAAGAATTTCTCGACACTTCTAAATATAAGTTAGAAACCAGTATTAGCTTATCGACATTATGGGAGATGTCACAAATTTTAAAGTGACATTTTGATAAAAGTCAATAAATAAATGTCGTAAATCTTTTCCTGACATTAAAATAAATGTCAGAAAATTCCCGACATTGAAGTTTACGACATTTGGACTAAGTGTCAAATAAATATCGGAAAGTGATTTTGTAACATTTATGTAACTTATTACGACATTATAGATCATATTTCTTGTAGTGCAATCTCGAGATAAATAGTGATAAAATGCATTCACGTTGAGGAAGTACAAGTAAGCCTAAATAAAAATTAATGACAGTGCGAACAAAGCCAACATTGATAGCTGAAAAGATTGTAAACGTATATATAATAGTGAGAACTATATAATAGTGATAAAATGCATTCACGTTAGGATCTTTTCGTCAAATTTTATAAGCTTTATCTTTCTCATGGAACAATTTTTAATCCCAACTGTGCAGAATTAAGAGCTGACTTCCGAAAAATTTTAATTAGCGACTACGCAGAATGAATCGCGGATAGAGTTTTCTATTCGATCTTTATTTGTGTGTACAGTCAAAACCGATTCTCAGTCATAAAGACCGGTCGAGACAATGACGTTTCAATCGAAGGGTATCCACATGGCGAGCTCGGACGAATTCCGAAGTAGAGACGTCGAGCTTCGAGCTATAAGACCAATCAACGGCAAAACTCGATATCATTATCGAGCCCGTGTCCGAATCGGACTACGGGGCAACACCGATCGACACAGGCCCCGAATATCGATGACCCAAGGTAGAACNCGGCAAAACTCGATATCATTATCGAGCCCGTGTCTGAATCGGACTACGGGGCAACGCCGATCGACACAGGCCCCGAATATCGATGCTCCAAGGCAGAACCGAGCTCGAACTAAGACTTGGGATTCGATCTAACACCAAGCTCGAGTCAGTGCCAAGCTCGCAAACAATAGCCATTACAACCGCACCAAGGGAGAAAATCTTGGCGAGAATCAAGGGAGAGACAAACCATCATGGGTTTTCCACTATATGTATTATTTTATTATGTTGTTATAGATAAAGTAGTGACCCTCTACTATAAAAAGGGAGACAGACTGCAATAGACAAGGGTCCTCCAAGATACATTAAGATTTCATTGTGCTTGTTCTTCTAATATTTTTCAGTCTTCCCGTCCATCATTCCCATTTCATAGCAAACAATACCTCTATTGTCATTTTGTATCAAAGAAATGTGCATACCCTTAGAACCATATCTAAATTTAACGTTATTCGATTTTTCGGGGAAACAGTTTGGCGCCCACCGTGGGACTAAGGGTAACGGTGATTGTTTGATATAAATCTACAGTACACTCCAGCTTACAACTTCGAATCAGCCATGGCTCTACCTATCGACCTCGAAGCTGGCTTTCAAGATGAAACCAACAACTTGGTGCCCGAGGCCGGAAGGCTACCTGACAACGGCAACGAGGCTCGAATCAAAGAACCCGAAATTCGAGTCGAAGTACCACTGGATATCAATTCGCAAAGAGCTCTAGAAGCGAATCAGCGTTCTGAACCGGAGAGAAGCATTCAGGGCGGTGCTCGATCCATCGCCCGAGACACCTACAGCACGGGGGAAATTGGGGTCAGCTTGCGTATGATTTTCGAAATGTTACAAGCCCAACAAGCAGCGATAGCTCAGTTGCAGAGCCGAACTCATATGCAAAGCGGGCCGAACTCCAATCCGCTTCTTCGAGAAGTCACCCCTAGAACGGAGCTCGCCATAGTNCAGACCCTTGCAAAGGGAGCAATGATCTGGTATCACAACTTACCACCAAATTCCATTGATTCTTTCGCCATGTTAGCATACTCGTTCGTAAAAGCACATGCTGGTGCCATAAAGGTTACAACAAGAAAATCGGACCTCTTCAAAGTAAAACAAAGGGGTAACGAAATGCTGAGGGAATTCGTATCCCGATTTCAAATAGAGCGTATGGACTTGCCACCGGTCACAGACGATTGGGCCCTACAAGCTTTCACCCAAGGACTGAACGGGTTAAGTTCGACAGCATCACGTCGGCTGAAATAAAATTTGATCGAGTACCCAGCAATAACTTGGGCAGATGTACACAACCGGTACCAATCAAAAATCAGGGTCGAAGATGATCAATTGGGAGCTCCGTATGGGCCCGTACGTCAGAACCACACAACCACTAAAAATCAAAGGGAAACCAACAGAGAACAAAGGTCGAACTGAGATCGATACCAACTGTACGACACAATTCGGATGAATAACGGTTCAGCATGTGATACGGTTCGGAACAACCGAAGGATTGATCGGGGGAAAAATTCTTGGGGACTTATGAGCAAGAGAGGCTTTGATAAATATACAGATCCTATAGAAGTCCCTCGACTATCGGAGTATAACTTCAACATTGGTACATCCGCCATCGTATCGGCCATCGAACACATCAAAGACACCAGATGGCCTCGACCCATACAAATCGATCCTGCCCAAAGGAATCCCAATCAAATGTGCGAATATCATGGCACCCATAGTCACAAAATGGAAGATTGCAGGCAACTAAGAGAGGAAGTGGCCCGCTTATTTAACAAAGGGCACCTTCGGGAATTTCTGAGCGATAGGGCGAAGAACCATTTTAGAGACAAGGAATTCGGCAAGCAAAACGAGCCAGAAGAACCGCAACACGTCATTCACATGATCGTCGGCGGCGTCGATGCCCCCCAGGGACCGATGCTTAAACACACTAAAACGTCGATTGTGAAGCGATCTCGAACTCAAGATTATACAACCATAGGGACTTTATCCTTCAGTGATGAAAATACAGGGGGAATCATCCAACCCCATAACAATGCACTGGTAATATCCGTACTCATGAATAAAACTAAGATTAAGCGTGTGTTAATTGATCCAGGTAGCTCGGCCAATATCATCAGATCGAGGGTCGTAGAACAGCTCGGCCTGCAAGATCAGGTCGTACCCGCAACTCTGGTTCTAAACGGATTCAATATGGCATGTGAAACCACTAAAGGCGAGATTACCCTACCTATGAACGTGGCCGGAACCATCCAGCAAACAAAGTTTCACGTGATCGAAGGTGATATGAGATATAACGCCCTCTTCGGAAGGCCATGGATCCACAGCATGAGAGCCGTACCCTCGACCCTACACTAGGTCCTCAAATTCCCAACATCGGGAGGTGTCAAAATAGTGTACTGGGAACAACCGGCCGCAAAGGAAATGTTCTCCGTCGAAGAAGCAAAATCAATATCCTCGCCTTCACCAATAAAAGGATCAGGTTCAAAGCAGAGCGCCAAATAGCAATCACAGACATCGGCTTCGACCCGGCCAGGTAAGCAGAACGTTGAAGAAGACTATGATGATCGATGGATCCCTCGATCCTTCGTAACCCCTGATGATTTCGATGCCACCAAATCAACAAATGAGGAACTGGAGCAAATCGTACTGATCGAACACTGGCCCAAACGAAAGGTATAACTGGGAACGGGTTTGAGTCCCGAACTCAGGAAGAAACTCATTCAATTTCTTATAAATAACATCGACTGTTTTGCCTGGTCCCATCTAGATATAACAGGGATCCTGCAGAACATAACGGCGTACCAGTTAAGCTTGAACCCTATGTTCAGACCGGTGAAGCAAAAAAGAAGGCCCCAGTCCGAGGAAAAGCACGCATTCATAAAGTACGAGGTAACCAAACTTCTCAAGATAGGGTCTATTCGCGAAGTAAAATACCCCGAATGGTTAGCCAATGTGGTTGTTGTACCTAAAAAAGGAAACAAACTTAGAATGTGTGTAGACTATAAGGATTTGAACAAAGAATGCCCCAAAGATTCCTTTCCACTGCCCAACATCGATCGTATGATCGATGCCACGGCCGGCCACGAGATTCTCACCTTTCTCGACGCCTATTCCGGGTATAATCAAATTCATATGATCCCGGACGACCGGGAAAAGAATTCATTTGTGACCCGATATGGAACATATTGTTATAACGTAATGCCCTTCGGGCTAAAAAATGCAGGAGCTACTTATCAACGCCTAGTAAACAGAATGTTCGAAGAACAAAGAGGTAAAACGATGGAAGTCTATATTGATGACATGCTAGTTAAGTTCCTGCGCGCAGAGGACCATTTGGCCCATTTGCAGGAAACGTTCAAGATTCTGAGGAAATTCAACATGAAGCTCAACCCCGAAAAATGTGCTTTCGGGGTCGGTTCGGGCAAGTTCCTCGGCTTCATGGTCTCAAATTGGGGAATTGAGATCAACCCCGACAAAATCAAGGCCATCGAAGACATCACCATCATGGACAGCGTGAAAGCTATACAAAGGTTAACGGGAAGAATTGCATCCTTAGGCCGGTTCATTTCAAGATCATCGGATCGAAGTCATAAATTTTTCTCCCTACTCAAAAAGAAGAACGACTTTGCCTGGACATCGGAATGCCAACAAGCGTTACAGGAATTGAAACGATACCTCTCGAGCCCGCCACTGCTTCATACTCCGAAATCGGACGAGCAACTCTACCTGTACTTGGCGGTATCGGAAGTCGTCGTAAGCAGTGTCCTAGTTCGAGAAGAGTAAGGTACGCAATTTCCCGTTTATTATGTAAGTCGGACCTTAGGAGAAGCGGAAACTAGGTATCTGCACTTAGAAAAATTGGCACTTGCCTTGGTAAGCGCATCTAGAAAGTTAAGGCCGTACTTTCAATGTCACTCCATAAGCGTATTAACCACCTGCCCACTTCGTAATATTTTACATAGGCCCGAACTATCAGGCCGAT